GACCCATGGCATCTGTAGATGAAAATGTCTTATTCTAAGGTTATGAGAACACACTAACACCTACATTCAGGTGATTATATAAGAATGAAAGCATACCTATGAACATCATATTCCATTTCTGACAATAGATCCTCCTAAATGTTACACACTGGACCTTTAAGGAAAAAGTCTGGGACCACTGCTTTTATACAACATGATAAAATATCTGTCTCTTCAGCTGCTCAGCGCTTTACCAGTGAGACAGTAAAGCTCCATTTGTTGAGTCACTGCCGTGACGTGTAGGCAAGCTGTTATCAGGGTCGGAGGTGCTCAGACACTCCTGAACTGTAGCTTGTATATTTCTCATTAGTAGGTGTGGTTGGTTTGTATTTTTTACAGTTTTAGAAAGGGGACAAACTTTGATACTGTAGGTGGAAAGGACTCTTGCCTTGACTTTTCAATTTGGCCTAATTTGGCAGTTGAATTTCATGTGGCTGTGTGCACCCGAACCAAAATAACCCAGTGAAATACAGTGAAATCATGATGGCATAATAACAGAGTTATTTGATAAAGTTTAGGTTGATACTTCATTCTTGCAAATAGAGAGGGCACAAATGAGGAAAGGAAGGAAAAAGAATGAGTTAGCAGGATATATTTAGTAATATGAGGAGTGACTAGTCCGACCTGAACTTTTCTACTGTCAGCCCTGTTCCAGTGTGGTGTAGACCACATTATGCAGCAGTTATCATAACACATCATGACATTTGTTGATTTAAACCTCATTCTGTCTGGCCCATAAAAGTTGCTAATCGATGCTTTCATCCATGTTCCAGTTAAATGCCATACCAGTGTGTATATTTCTGTGAAAAGTTCTGAGCTGGAATATGGACCTGCCAACTGGCTGATTTACTTTTCATTCAGTGTGAATTAGCCAGGCTGAAGCAGAAATAAGACACTGATATGAGAACAAGTCAGTCTTAAAAAGTACGGGAGAAGAAGGCATTTGGTTGAAAAACAACCAGTGGGTCTAGACTCAATCAAAAAGCAGTCCACTGTCACTTTCTGTCTGAATTGCTGTAAAATGACAGTCGTGATTTAAGACTGATTCCTGGAATCTGCTGGCTGACAACAAAAACAGGCCTTACTCTACACTGCTTCTATTTTACTGGAATGTGTTTTCTCAGCATTTGGGATTGGCTTAATCTACTGGCAACAGGCTGTTTCCTGCATTGTGGCAACAGTAAGTGAAATGGATGGGCTAGGATGACAACAGGCTCACTATTTGTATGCAATGTGTTTGGGAGACCATGCTGGGACTGAGGTTGAAGCTTTTGCCACCTGACCTCTGCATTCCGTGCAAAAATAAAATCTCCAAGTTTAGCTTAAACTAATCCCTTAAGCAGCCAGCAGCGAGTAAAAAAAAAAAGGGCATCTTCCAACGTTACGGTTATCTCAAAATGTCCTTGTCATTAGAGATGGGAATCGAGAACCTGTTCCAGTTGAGAACCCAAACTGTCCGATACCTTAACTCGCTTCCGAGCTTATCAATTCCTTTGATCCGGCATGTTTGACAGCTGCGTCAAACTCAACTTACAAACAAAACCTATGTACCCCTCCATCAACACCATCACTGTTGCAAACATCATCATATAATATTTTCATGCAGTTTAACTATTAATATTTAGGTCAGCTTGGTCAAGTTTGCATTTGTACTACAAACACCATGGAGTGGCAAAAGCTGGATGTTCCAAAATTTATCCATTACTTTTAGCCAAATATTTTATATCCTCTGGACTACTTTTCATGCACTCTTTACTCTCAATCACTCTTTTCTAAAGAAACCTTTAAACCCCTAAATTAATTATTATACTCAACATGTGGATGTATTTTTTTTTATTCAAATCAGACTCTTTTTTTTAAATTAGTTGAGCTACTCCACAATCTCTCCATGTGCCACCTGGCAACAGCAGAAAATCAGATCTCACATCCGCTTGGTATTGCATAATTCAAAACTGAACTACATAATGTAAATTAGTGGTCAACCAATATGGGGTTTCCAATGGCCAATGCTGATATTTAGAGAGCAGGGCTGCCGATGGCTGATACCCAATGTCAATATCAAAACAAAAAAAGGTAATATATAATTCTATTCTGTAGGAAATTCAGGCATATGTTCACAGCAGGCATAATAGTTATATTATCTATCACTATACACAGGTTCTTTGTGAAGAATTTCAAAAGAATTTCATGTTCTCCAATAAGGCTGTCTATTGCCAAGATTCTGGCAACATACGTCACAATACAGGCGATTTTTAAAAAATATATATAATTTTAGGAAAACTATCATAGTATCAAGAACACACCACTACATGCATAAAATCCGAGTAATAAAAAAAGTTAACTTTTTTTATGCAACCACATTTCACTCAGTTTGGGGTTTAGACATAAAAATTAATACAGCAGTTTTAAGAATTGATACAGAAAACATGAAACCCCTATTCCCCAATGGATGACTCCTAATGACTAATGTTTTAGCTAGCGCCATCAGCAGGTCACATCTTTCATCAATATAATATGTCTCAACCATTGGACTATTGGAAGGATAGCCATGAAATTTAGTTCAGAAATTCATGTCCACCTCAGGATGAATTGTAACAGCTTTGGTGATCCAATCCAAAGTCTATAAAATGATC